CCATCTGGAAAATATCTTCCGGAGTCCTTTTTTTTTTGGTGAGTTTTAGAGTACACTTATCCTGTTATAGTCTCCTTGAGACTTTCTGGTGTGACTGACAGTCTTTAAGTGCCTGATCAGCACATTTAGGTTGAGATATTCATGGCAGCTTGTGAGGTTCTGGGAAACATAGACATTTAGCAATATCTTTTATATGTGGAACAGATTTTGATTCAATTGTATTCATTGAGCACTTGCCATGGATGGGAAGACCATTGTATACTCGTTGCTACACATTTTCTTTTTCCCCACACATTTTCATACATGGCGATCCTTCAATTTGCTCCACAGATGGGTCAGACTTTAACCATCACCCTAGTCACATCTTCTTCCTAGTTAAAGGTAAGGGTTTCCAGATCTGTGATAAACCTACCTTACACATTGGCCTATTAGGGAAGAAGTTATAATTCTTTTGATCTGAGTCTTTGACACCATGGTCAGTGTGGAACAGTTTGCAGTTAGTTTCCAGTCCTCTGGTGAGTCAGGTATTTTTCAGGAAAAATCTCTTGAGAAATTCAAGTGACCTGATTAAGACATTCTAACAGCTGACCTTTATTTATTTATTTTTTGAGAGATAAAAGCTAACCTTAATTAATCAATGCAGAGATTAGACTCTCAGAAACTCCAACTTTGCTCAGATTTCCAAGTTTCAAACCTCTGAATAGAAAGCCAGGCTTTATATTTCTTACATCACTTTCCCTTTAGACTTTATTGGTTGAATAATGTTTTTTTTTCTGGGGTGATATGGTGCACATATATCAGCTTTTTACTACAAAAGGCATCCTGAAGAAAAAGAGACATAAGAATCAACACAACAAACAATATTGAAGGTAGGTTCATTCATTGAGTGAAGTGGGGTGTGCTTTGGATTTTACTTGAAAAAGCAGTGTGTAGTTGTAGACTAGATACTCTTACTCTCATATATTTTAGCTTTCATTGTTTTTATAGTACAATAATGATGTTCATTTTTCTTTGAAGTATATATAAGAACAGTGGAGGACCAGGGGATCAAACCTGTAACATTTATTGTGTCTTAGTTCTGATTCTGGGGCAACATGGGAAACAACAGACACTATTTTGCCCCTGAAAACTTACATTCCTTTTTTGGATAAATGTGACAGATGAGATGCAGGTAAAGGATAATTTAACCCTTGGTGACAAAGGACTAGAATTAAAAAAATCAGCTAAGGAAAATCTTACAAAGGCTTCCTTTTTGGTGGTCCAGTTTTGTTGATTCCTGAAATATCTTCTCTTCCACAGGTCCTTTAAGCCCTAATCAGGCTGTCTGGGTACAAATTGTACATTCCTCTAGCCTATAAATGGATAACTAAAATTAAACCACATTATTGTTAATTCTTTTATTTATTCATTCAAACTTTACTCTTCAGCTCTGTTTTGTCATTTGTTATATATGTCTTTACTCTCTTCACGTTCTTCCTCCATTCTGGCACTACTGTAGGAAGCCAGGAAGCCTCTAGTATAGAGTGTTCATTAACCAGCTGCATGATTCTGGGTCTTTGATTCTACTTGTGTAAGAAGAGAAAGTTGGTCTACAAGATCCACAGTTTCCTTCCAATGTTAACAGCTGATGATCAGTGAAGGGAACTGTGAAGTCACCATCTGACTCCTCTGATGAAATGATATTTTTGAGGAAAAGAAATGATGGAGGAAGCCATATTAGTCTTATTTTTTGAAACTCTAAAATATCTATAATACAGAAATTAAAATGAACAACCATGATGTAGACACCAGATTTGTTATGAAGATGGAAACTGTTTTCATAGGTGTGTTGGGGCCAGCTCATATTAACCATTTATGTTTATTCTAGATTTATGTTTTCTTAATCACAAACACTGGAAATGCTACTATTTGGTGTGACCCATGTATTTCCCTCCAGATTTTCTATCTTTGACCTGAATAATCGAGAAGTCAGAATTAGGGTTAATTTAGACCTCATAGATAAAAATGCCACTGATAGTTTCTGGTCTAAGAACCTCTGTCTGAAATGATTTCTCAAATATTTATAATTTCTACTCAGAGGTTTAATAAATGATAGTTTTCTTTCCATCCATTCTAAAATAACAAAATAATTTGTTCTTTATATATCTCTATCTATGTTTGAGTTGTGGTATTGAGGAAGAGTATACCAGACATACCATGGATTGCCCAAAGAGTAAACAAATCTATCTTGGAGAAATTGTAACCAGGATGCTCCTTACAGACAAGGATGGTGAAACTTCATATAATTTGAGCATATTATCCAGAAGGAAAAGTTCTTGGGAAATAAAGACTTCATGCTTGGAAAAGTAGGGGGTCATCGAAGAGAGGACAATCCTCAATGAGATACAGTGACAGACACAATGACTACACCAATGAGCTTAATCATGACAAAGATAGTGAGAATGACACAGGATAGGGCAAGGCTCAGATGTATTGTTCATAGGGTCACTATGAGTCATAGTTGCCTAGAAGACACCTAACAGCAACATCTATCTATCTATCTATCTATCTATCTATCTATCTATCTATCTATCTATCTATCTATCTAATCTATCATCTCTTTGTTAACCTTCAAGAACTTTGGACTAGAAAAGAATACCTATTTTTTTTAACGTAAAAAACTAAAGTGGTCTTTGCAACATCTCTACGAAGACTTCTTTCACTGACACTGAAAGTCTGAAGTCATCATAGGAAGTAATAACATTCAATTTTGAAGCTAATTTTCATAGAAAGTAATAAGTCATTTTCCCCCCTGCAGGTGACATAAGTCCATCCAATATTCTTATCTTTTACAATAAGGTCATGCGTGTGAAACGATGGTATAGAGTGTAGAGTCCAAACTTAGTTACCAGGCTTCAACTGTGCTCTTTGGAGGTGGGTCTTTATCATTGCCATTGAATGAGAATGGACTCAGAGGTGATGTGAAGTTGTAAATCACAAAGGATATTGCCCATCTTTCTCCCTTGGAGCAACTGGTAGATTTGAATCACCTACTTTTGGGTTGGTAGTGTATCTCTCTGCTCACTAGGCAACTAGAGCTCTGGAGGATGAGTATAAGGAGATGTACAAAGTAGTGACAGGATCCTTTTCACGGTCCAGGGACTCATGACTAAGGAACTAGTCACTTAGAAACCATCCTTACTTAAATCACAAAGCCAAAGGACAGCAGGTGCACACAAGGAAAGCCTGCATTAAGCCTGCTTCTTTCAGCACCAGTTCCATGCACATAGAGTTGCCATTGCTATTGTTAGTTGCTTTCAACTCTGTTCCAACTTAAAGTAACCTTAGGCAGACTGAAGGAAGCATCACCAGGTCCTGTACCATCCCCCTAATTTTTTTCTGTTTGAGCCCATAATTGCAGCCACCGTGCTGTTCCATCTCATGGAAATGTTCCCGGTTTTCACAAATTGTCTACCAAACAGGGTATCATTTTAACTGAGAGAATAGGGCACAGTAAACATATAATACATTATGTTCTCATGGTTTGTAATTTGTGTGTAAAATATACGATCCCACCCAATTCTCTAAATAGCACTAAACAAAAAGAACTTTAAGTTCCATTTCCCAAATTACAAAAAAAAAAACAGATTTAGAAGGGTTTCTGTACTTGTTAAGGGTCACAGAGGTAGGAAGTGACAACACTCTGATTTGAACCCAGGTTCTTTGACCTGAAACCCTGAGTTCTTGTTACTAAGTCATCAGTGCCACCACCCTTACTAAGATGCAGAGGACTGGCTTACTCTGCAAGCTGCCTCTCAAAGTGTGTGAGTATCGAATCAGGGTATTTTTAGGTCTGCTAAGAGGGCTTATTTAAATGACTACTTAAAAGGCTGTGATTTTGGGATTTGTGCAGGGATTTGTGCATGTCTGGTCACCTCTTTCTTATCTCTTCAGTCCTCTGGATTCTCCAGTGGGCACGTTGGTTTCTTTATAAGTTGCTGCTGCTGTAGGAAATGTTTCTGACTCATACTTTGCAGCTTTTCTTGTGCGGAGTTGCTGTGCTCTGACTTTCTGACTTAAGAATCTTACGACAAACCCACGGAACCACACGCTATGTTATACAACAGGCCTTTGACTTGTTAATCTCAAATTTCAAACTCATTGAGACATTCTGTAATAGCTTCACATTTCCCTTTTATGTATATGTATATGTATATGTATATGTATATGTATATGTATATGTATATGTATATGTGTATGTGTATGTGTATGTGTATGTGTATGTGTATGTGTATGTATATGTGTATGTATATGTATATGTGTATATATATGTATATGTGTATGTATATGTATATGTGTATATATGTGTGTGTGTGTGTATACACACACACACACACATATACTCCTGCAAAGATAGTGGTTGACTGTTGGCAACTTGGTCCTTTTCTCTCTCTTGGCTTCTTTCTTATGTGCTGGTTAATTTCATTGGCTGCAGGATAATTTGGAATGGGAAATTCAGCACTTATAAAGAGGGATCAACTCCATGTTCTAGCGTAAGGTGAGCTTGGTATTAAATGTTTGCTATGCAATCAATGTAAAGCACTGTGAAGAAATAAGAGATGTGGTAGAAGCATCTATTTTTTGAAAAAATATGGACTCTTCTTTAAAATATGGTGTATAAGACTATCAGTGACTTAGGCTGTCTGGTTCTTGGTTTTCTTATGATAAAATATTCTTTCACTTTGTTGTGAGGATTAAGTGTGCTTGGATCATAGAAAATATTTCAGAGAAACATAATTATGAACTAAACATCCTTTGGGAATAATAACAAACTGGCAATAATTGGCCTTTTGTCCACTCATCTCACGGAGAACACGTTTTGGGAGAACCGTAAGCATTGTGGGAACTCAGGCGGGAACAATAATAGTAGTCTTCAAGGCCTGAAAAGGATTCTTCTAAGCACTGAATGAGGATTCTATGGTTTCTGTGATTCCAGGCTGTCAATCTCCATACTTCAGACCATGACTTCTACCAGCAATGTGACTGAAATAATTTTCTTGGGATTTTCTCAGAACCGGAATGTGCAGAAGATCATCGCTGTGGTGTTTCTCCTCATGTACACAACCATTGTGCTGGGCAATGGCCTCATTGTGGTGACCATTGTGGCCAGCAAAGGCCTCACCTCTCCCATGTACTTCTTCCTCAGCTACCTGTCCTTTGTGGAGATGTGCTACTGTTCTGTCACCGCCCCTCGGCTGGTCATAGACTCCTTTACTGAGAGGAACGTCATTCCTCTCAAGGGCTGCATAGCACAGATCTTTTTCCTCCATTTCTTCGGTGGTACCGAGATCTTTCTCCTGACGGTGATGGCCTATGACCGCTACGTGGCCATCTGCAAGCCCTTGCACTACATGACCATCATGAACCGGCGAGCGTGTGGTCTCCTGGTGGGGGCCGCCTGGGGTGGGGGCTTGCTGCATTCTGCCGGTCAAACCTTCCTCATTCTCCAGCTACCCTTCCGTGGCCCTAACGTCATTGACCATTACTTCTGTGATGTCCACCCTGTGTTGAAGCTGGCCAGCTCTGACACCTTCCTCATTGGCCTGCTAATCATTGCTAATGGGGGCTCCATCTCCGTGGTCAGCTTCGCAGTGCTGCTTGTTTCCTACGTGGTCATCCTGCATTCACTGCGGGGCCAGACCTCAGAGGGGCGGCGCAAGGCCCTGTCCACCTGTGCCTCTCACCTTGCGGTTGTGGGCCTGTTCTTCATACCCTGCTCCTTTGTTTACATGAGGCCATGCGTCAGCCTCCCTGTGGACAAGATAGTGGCCGTGTTTTACACAGTGGTCACACCACTCTTAAACCCCATCATTTACTCCTTCAGAAATGCTGAAGTGAAGAACGCCATGAGGAGACTGATGGGGAGGAAGGGGGTTTGGGAAGAGAAGTGGATGAGGGAGCAGGGGTGAGGGATTGTGGCAGTCATATCTCACTCAGTCCCTGTCTTAATGGATGGAGCGAACTAATCACTTTCTTTCTTTAGGTTTCAGTTTCCTCATCTTGGATTGATCGGGTTGGCAGGGAAAGGGAGGCTTTTGAGCAGGCGAAGTTAACCTAGAACAATTAGTTATCAGAAAAAAAAAGATGTAAAGACTCTTTTGTCAGTAAATTCACACTAGACAGATTGATACATTAACTGCTGCAATGGCTCTAATGTGTCAGGAAGTGTGAGGACGGCACAGGAAAGGACAGGGTTCAGATCTGTTGTTCCTGGGTTTGCTATGGTTGTACTCAACTCGAGGGCATCCAACAACAACAACAACAACAACAACAACATGCTAGCTCTAGATACAACTTTGTAAAGAATCAAAATGAAACCGTCAATGAGATTTTTAAAGTTCTTTTTAAACACTGTGCTATGTTATCCAATTTGTAGGCCAAGATTTTATTTTCTGTGACTGTTATAATCTTTATTTCTAAATATTTATTATTATTCTCTTTTATTTGCACCTGTCTGTCTTTCTTCCTCCCATCATTGTATTTTTCATTATGCTGCCAATTATTTGGCTTATTAGTTTTCTAGGAGCAAAATGAACTTGATTGCTCTTCCTTCTTAGACATTCCAGCAAAACATCTAGGTGGCCCACCCTGTTACACCCCAGGTAACGTGCCATGCTCATGTCTGAATATACCATCTTTCTTCACTCCTTTATTGTAGGCTTGCCTGCTGTTCATAGTATAGACTTAACTTCGGGTCCTCATTACTGCTTTAGGATTTTTTTTTTTTGATGTTTTAACTATCTCTTTTAAGTCCTATTTTCTGCAGCCTCATTCCAGACCATGAAACTGTATTCCCAAGTCCTAACTGCTGTCTGCCTCTCACTGTCAGTAGATGCTCTGCTCCACATGCTTCTGGGCTAATCACTTGAAAGCATTTCTCTGATTTCACCACTCCCCTTCTCAAAAACCTTCAATGATTCCCTATTGCCTGCAGAATCCACTACAAACTCCTTCCTTGACACACGACACTCTCAAGGTGTGACGTTCTCTTCATGCTCTTTAGATGGGTTTCAATTACACTCTGGTATTGAGCTGTTGTACACATGGTCGCTATGAGTCACAAGCGACTCGACGGCACATAATAACAACAACAACATTGCTCACTGGTTTCTGAATATCCTTTTGTATCTTTCCCGTCTCTATCAATATTCTACCAACCCTCAAGCACTCAGCATGTGAAATGTTGACACCTTCTGGAACTTTCCATTATTATTTCATCTGGACATATGCTATTTCTTCCTTGGACTCCTATGACGCTCAGTAGGAATCCTTGAAAGCCTTTACTACTTATGTTCAATTTTTCATCCATTAGAATGCCATCAATTTAAAACTACAGCCTGAATTTTACCCTTCTTTGTATCTTTTACCCTAAATAAACTATAACCCCACAAAGCTACTGCTGTTAAGTTGATTCCAACCATAGCAACTCTCCATTGTGTTTGTAAGGCTGTAAATCTTAATAGAATAAGACAGCTTATCTTTCTTGAGGAGTGAGTGGTGAACTGAAACTCAAATTTTTTATTAGCAACCTAACACATTATACACACTATGATTCCATTACAACTTAAGTAAAATACAATCAAAACAACTATTTGATCAATTAGATATTTGAGAGCCATGTATGCTATGATTTGTAAGTGAATAATTACTTGATCTCTTACCATTTTCATCTCCATTCTTTTAGTAACCTACTAGTGTTAACACTACCCAAGTCAAACCCATAATAATATTTCTGAGAATATTTTGTCATAAATAGTGAATGTGTATGTCTATTTTATAATTTGCCAAGAATTTCCATTTGTTCTATCTTATTTGATCCTCCAACAGCCTGCTGACGTGATTCAGTGGCGTATGCATGCTTCAATTTGGGTAACCATTCTCACGTCCTTTCCTTAGTTCTTTCTTCCCACCAACATAAACCTATTGCCCTGTAAGGCTCTTATTTAATCTTTCTAGCTGTTGTTAACAGTTTGATATTATATAGTTAGTTTTCAGAAGAACATAATATTCAAACACATTTTTTAACAAGTTAAGCTAATTATTGTCTACTTTTAAGAAGACTTCAGAGAATAGTTTTAATTTAAAATTATCTCAGAACAATCATTTAAGGGATTCATACAACCTTCTTGGCTCTAGAGAGTCTGGAGTTTATAAGAATTTGAAATTCTGCTTTGTATTTCTCCCCTTTTGATCTCTCTCTCTCAATAATGGTAGCCAGAAAAGAGGTCAGTCTCTTGATAAGAGTCACACACTCAGTAATTCATAGACCTTGAGATAAGCCTGATTCCTAAGCCTGTGCTCTCTCCAAGCATCACTCTTGGCCATGATATATTTATCATCTTTTTTTCAAAATTGATGGATTTGCTTAAAATATTTTGATAAGGGGTTTTTTTTTTTTGGTCTATTACATAAGAGTCATCAGTCTATAATTTTTTTTTTCACTTGAGATTTGTTTGCTAGGTTTTGGAGACTATATTGTATTTGTCTCATAAAAAGACTTATGGAGTGTGTGCTTTTCGTGTGTTTTCTAAAAGCATTTGTGTTAAGTTTGGTGTTATTTCTTGTTTGAATATTTGATAGGATCCAGTGAACGCATTCTGTCTTAAAGAGATTTTTTAGTAGGTTTGTAATAGATGAATTAAATATTTTAGAATTAGAAATAAGATTTTTTTTTGTTTTATTTTGGGTCAATTTACTAATTTACACTTTCTAAGAATTTTTGCATCACCTAAAAATTGCATAATTTGAGGATGTAATGAAATTAAACCTCATCATCATAATAAAGGAGTACTGATGTTTTAATGGTAAAGAGTTGTGCTGCCAACTCAAAAGTACTTGATTTGAATCTTCCAGCTGCTCTGGGGCAGAGAGATGGGTAGTCTTTTCTCATGCAGTTTACAGCCTCTGGAAACCTCCTCCAGGGTCAGCTCTGAATTGACTCCAGCTTATTGTACATAACATCAACAACAATGAAATAAAGAATATGTAAGATTATGAAATTAAAAATTTGTAGGATCTGTAGTGCTATCTTTTCCCCCCTATCTAAGAGGAAAATTTTGTGTTTTCTCTCTCTCATCTAGAGATTTATTAGTTTTGCCAACCTTTAAAAAAAACCACCACAGTTTGGATCTAGTATCGATTGCTTCCTATGCAATTATTTTTGTTCTTATCCTTATTGACCTCTTTCTACTTAGACTGTGTTTAAATCTAGTGTTTTCCCTAATTCTTAAGATGTAAACCTGGATTGTTGATTTTAGATATACTTTCTGTTCAAATACAGCCATTTAACACTTTAAATTTCCTTTAAACCAGAGCTCCCTTGTTGTACACCTAGAAGATAATAAAATAGGACTTTCTCATTAGTAGCTTGACTCCTCAGGATTTCTTAAGGATCACACTAAACTGCTCCTTCTTTGTGTTACCCAATGCATAGAGTAGAAACACTCTTATGAGAGTGATTTTAACTGAAATGAGCCGTGACTGTTAATGGAAAAGTTTGAGGTTTACTTGTATGAAGATTGCAGCTCAGAAAACTCTACAGGACACTTCTACTCTGTCACTTAAGGTTACTGTGAGTTAAAAATGGCACCTAACAACATGCTAGCTAACTTGGTTGTTAAGGACCTGTTTTAAGTGTGCCTTTACTAAAAATAGCACTTTATATTGAACCTTGACTTAGTTGCTCCAAGTAGATGGCTCGATACCACACCCTGCAAATAGTAATGGTTTAGGAATGACATGAGTGAGTTTAGGGTGGCTCTTTTAGAATAAGAGTCTAAAGCAAGTAGGATAAAAACCTGTGGCTTCCTTAACCTCTAAAGTTTGTTGGCAGCACCCAGTTAATGTGGCATGGGGGTATTGCCATCTCCATGGCCCACTTGTCTAATTGGGGTACAAAGCTCCTGGGGTCTCATTAGCAAGCCTCAGGATACTGTTGCTTAGAATGATTGTGCTGTGGTTTCCAAAGTAGAAGCATTCAAGTCAGGTGAGGGTTATGAGTGGGACAATCCCCTTGAAGGCCTCGTGAGTGCTCTGCATTGAAAAGTTACTGCACCTGTCCTTTCTTCTGCTGGGCTCTTGGGCATATCTCACTCACCTGAGGAGGGTGGAGCTCACTCAGGTCAGTTTGCAGGAGACCTGGTGTTACAGGTTAGAATAGATCAGAACTGACCCAGAAGTCTTATAGAGATTAGATGTTCTCACTTGTTTTGATTATTCCTCATTTTCTAGATCAAGGTTCTGCTGCGTAGTATCTGAGGGTTTCTCAGGTTCCTGCCGTCAAATACATCGAGTGTAAGTTTTTACATATAGGCTGATTGCTTCTCCCCTCTCCTGCCCCCTCATTGCGTCCTCATTCCCCCTCCCCACAAGATTTTCACGGTGTCACTGGAATTCTTTTCCTGCAGGTTTACCCTTTAGCTGATGATGACAGGCCGTTTTTGGATGATTAGAGGCTTTATATAGCTCATAGAGTGATCAAGAAGACAGGCTTCAGTTCCGTTTTTGTGTCTTACTGGTTTATGGTCTTGGGCAAGTCACTCATTTGCTCTGCTCACGTAAGAAGTGGAAGGCATCATAATAGCTTCCTCACAGCGTTGTTAATGGGTAGCTTGAATAAGATATGCATGTAAAGCGCTCTACACAGCCCCTGGTAGCACTGCCGGCTGATGTTATCATACACCTCTAGTTACTATGTCTCATATTTGTAGAGATGAAACCACAAAACTCAGAGGTGTTTTTCACATGTATTTTAGTATTTTGAGACTCTTTAGATGAATGTCTAGACCATGACCAAGGAGCTGTTCTGTAGAAAGGAAGGGTCAGGATTAACAGAGCTGATTGAGTTCTCCAGCTTTTCCTTAAGCTGTTTCCTTAAGCTGTTTCATTGTTGCTCTTACTGTTGTTTGCCATCCGGCGGGAACCATCCACTAGCTGACTTTCTAGTGAGCTTTCAGAGGCAGTCAATCACAAGGAAGGAGAGAACCCACTTAGTTGTGGAACAGATGGTGGAGCTGAACTGTGGACCTTTGGGATTTCAGTACAGTTTGTTACCACTTGTTATTTTTGTTGTGTGCCATTGAGTTGGAATCAACCCGTAGTTGACCCTCAAGTAGGTTTTCAAAGGTAGTAAATCGCACGGGAGGAAATTGTCCACTCTCCCAAGGAGCAATTGGTGGATTCAAAGCATGTTCCTTTGGGATTGCAGTGAAGTCTTTACCAGTGGCCACCAGAGCTCCTTAGCTCTTTGGAAATAAAAACTTCAGTCTTGAAACCCTTTCCTTCAAACCCATGTCCACCTGACAAGATATTCATTCAAATAAAGGAATTATATATGATGCTTAAAATTCCTCCTAAAAGACTTCTTATCTTTTAATCTTTTTAAAGGCAGAGTATGTCAGATCCAAGTCAGTGTAAAGTGTGGCAAAGTGACATGAATCTTTATTCATTAATGATCCATTAATTGAGTCTAACAATGTAAGAATACTAAATATATAATATGATTATTTTGAGTAAGAAATATTATCAATTTCGTGTTTTTTATTTCATAATACAAATACTAAAAGTAATATACAAATGACTATGAACACCTTTTTTTCTGAGTCAGAACAAGGAAGACTCTTACATAGAAAACAAGAGATAGTAAATCTCAGCTTGGACCATTTACATATATTTTACATTTTATTACTAGAGAACTTCCTTTAAAAGGAGATGATGAACCCCCTTAATCAGTGCATTCTAAGATTCTTTGTACTAGCCGTTTCATAAGAATATTTATTTTGAGATAAGTAGAAATGATCAAGAAATCAGAAATGATAAAGAACTCAGACCTTTTGCTTGGCAATGGTGCTATATTTGTAAAATAATTTCCCACTTGGGTCTGACATGTAACCCTTGAGCTCTAATAACAAGTATTTACTCAGCATCTAGGGAGCTTTGGTGATCTAGTGGAAGAACTTGAGCTGTAATCCTGACGATATAAGGTTCAAATCACCAGCTGCGCTTTGGGAGATGGGTGGACAATCTCCTCCCAGGTGATTAATTGCCTCAGAAAACCCTTTGGAGGGTCAGCTATGGGTCTGTTCCGACTTGATGGCACAGAATAACAACAGTAACAACAAAACAGTCACAATAACAATGACACTGAGCATCTACTATCAGTTGCCATTAAGTTGATCCCAACTCATGACAATGCCATGTGTGTTGGAATAGAGCCATGTAGAGGTTCCTTTCTTCCTTTCCTTTCAGTCATGACTTAGGTGAAAGTTTGTAGAACGGTAGAGTTTTCAATGATTTGTTGAAAGTGGATTTCCAAGCTTTCTTCTGAGCTGCTTCTGGAGGGACATGAACTTCTGATCTTTTCATTAGCAGCCTACATGGTTAATCATTTCACCCCTCAAATACTTCGAAGCATCTCTGAAGTGTCAAGGACTATGGTCTGTACTTTTGCATGCATTGCTTTATAGGAGCTTTACAACAGCCCCACTAGGTGATGCTTCAAATACTGTCTTTATCTTGCGTCTAAAGAAACTGAGTTCCTGAGAGGCCTAGTAACTTAATTCAATACTATTAGACTAGAGAGTGGTAGAGCTGGGATTCAGTTTAAGAGGCTTGTCCCCAAGCCCAAGATCTTATTGATTATAGTGCTACCTCCAAGTGCTGTTTTCAGAGGACAGCTGGTATACTAGTTATGTATTCCATGCAGGTATTTCTCC